TGCTGCAATTCCTGCTGCCTGTGCTTCCATTGGAAGGCAAAACTAGCCAAGCTGCAGCAGTTGTTGTTGTTGTTGTGTATTTCAGTCTACCCTTTAAGCTTCTCTGAAAAATGTGCATGTAAAAGAGAAGAAATACTACCTTTTAACATTTGATGTTTCAGTGAAATTTTACTTAGAATTTCTTGAAACATAGAAAGGATGCTTTGGTAGCATGAAAAGTTATATCCCTGCTGAATAGCAGAGGTTTTCCAAGAAATGGAAGAGGCAAAACTCCTAAAAAAAAAAATTACAAGAAACAAAACTGTTAGGCTATGTTAGGATTGGGAGATCTAGGCAGAATACTTTTCTGCTAAAATATCTAGAAGTGTCAATTTTACAACTTTCTAAATAAACACTCATCTTTCCACATGTCAGGACATGTTCCCTATGTCAGTGTTTTAAGTAGCATTTTGTTGTATAGAATTACTTGTTGAAACATATATTTAAACTTGGTATTGCCATAGGACATAAAAAGCCTAAATAGATGTTAACTAAATTATAGAGATAGAAAAGGAGGGAAGCTTTTTGTCTGTAATCAAACATAATGGTGCTTCGAAATTAATTTTAATTGTTTTGATTTTGTCAGAAGTTCCAGCATTTAAATAATCCTCTTTTCTAAACCAAAACAAGAAGTTTTCTCATGTTAGTGCCATTCCTCCAATATTCCAAAGAGCATACAGGTGTTGTGTACACAGGCATCTGAGCTCCATAGAAGCAGTTGCCATAAATATACTCTCTTTCATCTAATTTTTGTTTGTACTGGTAAAGTATTGTCTTTGTCCTGTACATCCTTTGAGATGTAAAAGGAATAAAACTTACCTGCTTATGCTCAGAAAGTGTCATCAGCCTTCTGCATGTGAAAATTCCAGGCCCAACAGACTGTGTCACTGGAAATATGACTTGTGGCTGGTGACATGACTTAAGAATTCTAGAGAATTCCATCAATTACTTTACTTGTTTTGTATTGCTGATACTAATGACATTTGAATAAATTATATAAATGTGCATAAACCATTAAGGCAGGAAAACAAAAATATTCTAAGTGCAATTAGGAATCTGTTTCCTAATCTGTTTACCAAGACTCCAAATCTGTCCAGTAAGACAGCAGCAGCTTGGAATTTGATCTGGGGGCACCTGATCTGTTGTTTTGCAAAGAGGAATAAAGGTCCAGGGATCTGAAATAAAGCAGTTCCTTTAGCATATTAGTACTGACTGTGATAGCATTATAATGATTCTTCATTATACAGGTAAGAGAACTTCTCTGCTTTCAAATTGTGTAGTAAATATGTGTCTGCTTCCAGGTGGTCACCATGAAATGTAGAAGAAGCTTGGAGAATTAATTTTAGCCAAACATTTTGACACTTCTTGCATTCTGAACCTGGTGATGTAAATACAATTAATTCTGATTAGCATCAGGTCCAGCTAGGAAATTCTTGTAGCCATTGTTTCCATCTTATGTAAAGCTTAATTTTATATAAATAATATTTTTTTAAATTATTTAGCTCTCAAAAGTTTATTTGTATTGAGAAATCATAATAAGAAAATAGTTTCAAAAGTTAAATTAAGAACTAAGGTACATGAAAAATGCCTATTACTACTACAAGACACATTTCCAAGTACTTGGTGAGGCAAAATTGATGAGGACTGATCTCATAGCATCCAAAATCCATATTGCTTACCTGTCTGATTTGTAAGAGTGATTATCTTAAAACTGATTCTGAAAAACAGAGTTAGTGTTAAAGTTACTTAAAGTTGATATTCATATATTCTGGAATAGCAGCATATATATATACTTATATATAGAGAAAGAGAGATGTAGATATATATAGATATGCCTTATAGACATACTCTCCGAACTTTCTGGTGTGTACACATATGTGCACAGCTACCCACTCACACACACTGATGTATGATATAAATAAAGGCATCCCTTTACCAATTATGTGGCATAAATTTGCATTGGTAGTAATTGCATCAATCAGTGCTACAGAAGACATCTAACAAAAGAAACAGACACATTCTGTTCAGATTATTAAATGGATTGGAAAGGTTAATAATAAGCCTTGAGCCAGAAAATGTTCTAGACTGATTTTTTCGCCCTCAGTTATATAAAGCAATATTTCAAAGTGCATTTGTCTCCAAAAAAATAATTGTGTCAAAAAATACTCCCTCCTTGCCATCATACTTACCCTTTGTCTTCAATGTCAGTTCTGTGTGATTAAAACAATTTTCTTTTAACACAGTAGTATTTGTAGAAGAAGCTAATTAGTTAACTTGTGGAGTCTATTATCCATAATCAGATAGAATATTAAGCTGCAATTAGGTGCACTTTTTAAGACCCAAGCACAATTGTTAACTGCATGGAAGAGCCTGAGGTTATGGGAGTAAGTGAAGTGACGTAATTTGCCTCTCTAAAACATTTTATATTGATTACTCATGTAAAAGGAGTGAATTTTCAAGGCCAACACTTGCTAGTCAAACAAAGATTTTTTGCTTTTAATGTTGTTCATCTGATTTCCAAATTACAGTAACTAAGAACATAGAACTTCTGTACATTTTTCTTACCAGGTTCCAGAGAGACAGAATAGGAGTGTACAAGGCTAGGGATAATATGTTTTAGTAACAAACCTAATCTGCAAGACTTCTAGAAAACCCAGCAATATTCTTTTGCTACATTGAGGCTTTGCAATAGGGTGGCTGTGGTGTCTTAATTTTGTCTCTGAAGTGGGAGGCTACCTGAAAACCATTACCCCAGGGTGCTTCAACACAGATTTTAAGTTTAATAACTACTATTTCAGGAAAGCAAAGTTAGCAATCTATGAGTTGACATCTTCCTCAGTTTTAGCTGGAGAAGGTAAAATGCTGTCTTTTTCTTAGACTCTAGTGGAATCAAAAATAAGTCACATTTTTTGTAAAACCAATGATTGTACAACAGACTTCACACTTTGGAAAGTCTTACAGTATGTAATCTAGACTAAGTAAAATTATTTGATGCATATTCATAGACCCATGTTGAAGCCTTGACCCATCTGACTTTTTACCACAGGTCTAAACAGGTTTTTAGATTTGCTAGAGCTATTGGTCCATTTTCTAAAATACATAATTAGTTTTCTAGCAGCTATGATTTTACCTTCCAGTTCTGATCATCCACCTACTGTAATTGCAGCCTTTTGCAGAACAAGGTCATATATAGGTATATATACAGAACATAATATACAGTATATTATATATATGCAGTATATACAGTATAGGTATATACTATATATTACTATATATTACTATATATATGTTATATAAAAGTCTACTATATTGGTAGATTTTGCTGTTAAGGACACAAAATTTCATTCTAGAGAGACAATTCTCCAAGGTTTATGTTTGTATGTTACCAGTTGTTTCCTATGTACAGAAAGCTTCTGTGTAAAATTCCAGTTTCTAAATACAGGATAGGTAAATTTATATAGGATAAAGATGTAAGACTTCTAAAATTTTTTTAGTTTGGTCAGTGTCCTTGTTACAGTTTATTTGATGAACTGAATATTCCTCTTTAAGTGGCTCAGAACTGGCTTGTGCATTTTCTATTGAGATTGAGAATTTGGACTTTTAATTTGCTTTCTGGAGGTATCACTTGAATAGATGAGTGTCTATATTTAGGAGTAAAAAATTCTTTTTTGCTCATTATTTTATTTCTTAGAAAACAGAAATCCACCAATTCTAATTATATGCCCAAAACAAACAAAGCTATCATTGTAGTTATTTTTCTTTACATCACTATTGTATGTCACAGCTTGTGGATAATTAGGTAAAGCAAACTCTCTCATGAAGAGGAGGTTATGTTGACTTTTCATTTGGTAGTTTGATGCAGTGTTAGTTGTTTGACTGTTACCACAAAAAGGAAAACATTTTTTAGAAGAAATCGTACTGAATGTATATGTGTCCTGATTATATAAATAATACTGCAAATTTTAACAGTATTCCTTAAACTGTCATCTGAGATGTTAAGTTGCAGAAATGTTTTCACACTCTACTTATGTACTGATTTTTCTGTATTCCCAGGTCCAGTCTGTGTATGACATCGCCCAGTATGAGAATATTTTTCTTCTGTGCATGATTCTGGAACAACTTCTTCAAAATGAGACAGAAGAAAGTAACATTTCAAACTCAGACTATGGAGAAGAAGAAAAAATCAAATTTCTGAAGAACCTTGATCAAATTATTCTTCATCTCTCAGATGAATTCCCGTTGTTTTCTTTATATTTGTGGAGAGTGAGTGTTCTTTTGGACTCAGGTCGAATGCAAATTGATTAAAAGAAGCAGCCTACTTTTTAACCGTGCTTTTGTTGTGGGATTGCATTGGAAAAGACAGGGTATTGCCCTTTTTGGAAAACATTTACTTTAAACTACTATTCTATACAGCAGTTTCAGAGATAATGCCATTTATTTCCAATTCTGAGTGTAGAAAAAAATATAATAATCTAGGTACTATTTTGAATAAATGCTGTTTCTTGTAATATAAAACACTGTGTTGGTGTTTGTGCACATAATGAAAATGGAACAAAAAAAGTTGTTTCAGGTGCTGTTTAAAATAAACACTACGAACTTTAAAATACAGTCAGTATACATATGTAGAGCTTCCAAGTTAGGATGCTTCTCCTTTAAGAGCTGTATAGCTTCTCTATGATTTAGAATCATTGTCTGGTTGGCTGAAATAGAAATGCTTAAAATAAACTTGGTAAGTTATCAGTACGAATTCTTACAGAACAGACTTTGTTACTGATAATCAAATGAGTCGTTACTTGAGCAAAATAAAATCTCATGCTCAGTTTCACAGCTTTCTTACATTCATTGTAAACTGCTTGGCTTTACTTGTGTTAGCACAAGTTGAGGTACAACAGGCCTATTTCACCCTGAGCTGAGTAATGATTTCAGAGATTAATCTGAAGAAGTGAAAGTCCTGTAATAGTTACTTTAAATGTTTCTGTTCAAAATTAATGAATATTGATAAAATTCCCTTTGGTATATTTTCATATTATCTCTAATATGTTTATTTAATGTTAATTAAATGATATTTAATGTTTTTTTCCTGCGTGATGGTATTATATTCATAGTAATAATTAAAGTAACGTATTTAACGGAAAATATCTTTAAAGGTCTTTAAAGTGTGAGCTCAACAATATCTTAACCGAACCATAGTCTTTCATAAATCTGAAGGATAACTATTATGATGAATTGCTCTTTTTTCTATTAGATAAACAACATTTTTTAATGTCTTCTAGAAATCTATATTCACTATAAATACAAAACATTTTGAGCATTAGTCCTTTTCCTTCCCCTTAAACTTGTCAGCTCAATTTTTATGTCAGGAAAACTCTCTGAAACACCACTATCTTGTTAATTTTAATGCATTTCTTTTTTAATAAACCTTTGCTTTATATATATGTAAATTACATTGATATTTAGAAAGCAGGTTACTTTGATGGTGAACTGGCTCCCAGTTAGACACTGTCTTAGTTATGACACTGGTCCCTCTTATGTTTCTTAAACTTCCTATTTGACACGTCATATGGTAACATTTGTTTAATTCCTTTTTCTAGCTTTCTTCCAACAGAAATGTTTGATTTGCAAAAAAAGTGTTCCTGACTAGTCACGTGAGCAAAATCAGATAAGTTTAGCCCAACTAAAGAAAATGCATCAGTTTGTAAGTCTGATAGCCCCTCAGGAACTACTGTGCCCTTTTTGTTGCTGCTTTACTTGTTTGTTTGTTTCATTCTGGTGGAGAATCAGTTCTTCCTTCTCCCTCCACAGCACTGAAAGCATGATTGCAAAAACAGACAGGAGAGGAATAAACAAAATGAACAATTATCTAATTGATATAATAATTTTCATTTTAAATTTTTTTTAAAAGCTTCATTCAAATATAGTATGTAAGCAAAAGACACAAAATGCAGAAGTATACTGGCATCTGTATAATGGCAAATTGTATATTGTTTCAAGCCTGTTGTGTGAAAGAAAAGTTTCAACCGCAGATTGCACACCCTATATGCTCATCAATTGGCAAAAAGTATTTTTGTTGTTAGTAAAGCAGCTCAGGCAAAAAGTGACATATTTTCCTCTTTGCAAATCATAGCACTTCCTCACCAGTAAGTTATCTAAGCCACTGGAAAAACAATGGATATTTTAGGAAATATATTCATCCTCAGTGAATTTTGAAGTAACTGCTCACTTGAGACATGATTTTTGAATTTTTTTTTTTTTTTCACAGCATACAGAAAGACAAGATTTTGTATCCAGGGATGACACAGCTACATGGCACTTAAGCTCTGACAGGGATTTGGAACGGTTTCGCAGCTTTGAAAGGGTTGAGGCAGATTGAGAGTTCCCTTTGCAAATGCCATTGCACCAATCTAGGCACACACTCACCTCTCCACAAAAGTGCTGTTAACTGGTCAGCTGGGCTCTCTTGATCTGCTTAGTGTAGAATTAAATAGGGCAGTGAACCACATTAATGAAAACCTCAGCTTTGGTGGGGGCAATAACCCCTGCAATCAGAATACTTGCTCGATTGTTGTCTCTTGTTTCCTGGAGATTTTTCACTAAGAGGGGACTTGCCTCAAGATGAAAATGCACAAAGGTAGACCTGTACATTTTGATGTCTCCACGTGGCTGAGATATCCAATCTGTGAAACACTTGCAAAGTAACCAAGTGTTTTGGTCTGGGTAGCTAGCTGCTACCCCAAAGGACTGCAGATCTTCTCTAAGTAGTGTGTCACATTTTGTGTCTTCATGTAGATGCTTCTGATACCCTGAAGCATCTTTAGTGGCATTGTCACTTAAGTGTGGCTGCTTAGACAACTGAACAGTGGTGATAAAATGAGCTTAGGTGTGCAATTTGCCACCATAAACCCGCATTTAGGTGTCTTAATCTGAAAACTAAACCACACATTTGTGATACCTTATATGTTTTAGAGTAGGAAATCCTAAGTTTAAATCCCTGTTCTTATGCAATGACTACTAGATGTAATTTAAGTAAACACCACTGTCTTTCATTTTGAAATTTCCAGGATGACTGAGACAGTCCCTGGAGCATTTGCAACCAGGTTACAAGAAACCTGCCCACAGGTTTAAACTATGCCTTCAAGTACTTACTAAGTAGGTATGACCACGTCCAAGTTTTATCTGTCTGGCCCCCAGAGAGGAATACCAAATCCAGAGAAAGTGCTCTTTACTGAGTGCAGACTATTGGATGTCTCAAAAGAACAATCTCAAGGTCCGATGTGCTAATCATAACATCTCACTTAACTAGGAAACACTGAAAATAACTTGCTCTGACCTGTCATTGTTCTCTGGAGTGTTTTATATGATTTACCCTTACAGTTTTAAAATTAACAGTTCAAGGATATTTCTTTTGTCTTGCACATTTCTTTTTTTGTAAATACATGTACTTTAAATGTTGGCAAAATACTATTGTTCTGCAAATGCAAATTCTTCAGCCTTATAAAAACAAATGTATATATAAGCACACACAGTTAAATTATATATTTATATGGTTGAATTAGCATTGCTTATTTATAGTAGCCTAACAGCAGTTTATGATTTTATAATTTGTTGTTCTGCCACATTCATAGCTTTCTGGGTGACTGACTTTCATGCCTGTCTTTATCTGTTTTAAAAATAATTTTGTGGTAGAGTATCTCGTTTTATAAAAACACAAAAAATATCAGACAAGGAAAATAAATTTTTATTCTAGTGCTGCTCCACTGACTGTTCTATTCCCTGAAGAGTTTTGCATGCCTACTAAAATGGCAGGAGTGGGTGGGATTTTGAAGTGGACTGTCTCAGAATGTTTTTGTAAACTTAGTTTGGAATCTTTTCATAATCTGGTTGTAACAATTTTAAATTTCTGATTTTACAAGGTATTGCTTATATATGTTGGTAACAGTGAAAATGAAGTTGTACCTTATTTTAATCCTGTAATAATATTTTTTTAATTCAGTTATCTATGTATTACTGTCTGATACAGTTTGTAGTTTACTGTTGTGCAACATTAGTTGATGTTCACAGGATCATAGGAAAATTTGAGTCACAGGAGACCTCAAGTTTTCTAGTCCAACTTCCTGCTTCAATCAGCATTAGCTGTGGGATCAAATCAATGTTGGTTAAATCAATGTTGTCTGTTGCTATTTCAGTATTCAGTCAGGTATTGAAAACTCTCCAGGACAGAGCCTGGATCTGCTCTTTTGCTTGACTATCTTTATGGTGAAAAAATGTTTCCTTGTATGCAGTCTGAACTGGTATACAGTTAATTCATTTATGATCGGTGTCTTAAATCTTTTTGCCACACAGAGCCTGGATCTGACCCCCTGATATCTTTCCCATAGGCACTGGAGGCTGCTGTTAGGCCCCACTTCAACCATCTCTTTTCCAGGCTGATCAGGCCCAGCTCCCTTAATCCCCTGGTGGCACAGATGCCCAAGCCCCAGGCATTTCAGCAGCCTTGTGCTGAATACTTCAGTTTATCAGCATTTTTTACTGGGGACCCAAAATGGGCAGTAGCAGAGCTGCAGATTAATGAGTGCAGATTAGAGGGAGGTACTCCCTTCCCTTAAACTGTGCTCCTGCTGGCACAACCCTTTGGTGCTCATCACTGCCAGGCCACTGCAGGCTCACAGCCAGCTCACTGTGCACCAGGGCCCCCAGGGCTTTGCCTGCAGAACTGCTGTCCAGCCAGGCACTCCCAACCTGTATCACTGCAAAGGAGACTTCCCTCCAGGCTGGACACTTAGCACTGGTCCTTCCTGAAGTGCTGTCTCAGTGATCAGCTTGAGAGAGAAGTAATTAAAAACTACAGTCAGATAAAATCAGAGGATTACATTAGCATTAGCATCTTACTCTATTTCAGTTTAATAATGAAAAGAAGGGTGAGTTTTAAAGTATTTTTAATTATTCAAAATTCTAAGCACAAATACAGGAAAAGCAAAGGACATTATGTTTGTTTTCATTCCCTGAGCAGCTGTCCATGTATGTGTTTCCCTTTAGAACTCGAAGAAGTTTTATTGATTTTTTGCTTCTATAGCTATATACTTCTAGCTTTCCAAGATTGTGCTTTTTTTTGTCTGTCACATGCCAGTAAGGGTTTTTTTTCTGTTCTGCAGTTCTTAATTGCCTTGATATGCAACAATTTCTGCAACTTCATCCAGATGGTGCTTCACTTAGGCTTTTATTAAATCCGCTCCCCCTTATGTAAATTGTTTCACTTTCTTTATCTTTTAGTTTTCCCTATTTTGCATATAAGTAAATTCACTTAATCTGCACCTGCTTCTTTAATTGAACAAACAATGTTAGTTTACAGCCTTGCTTTAATTAAGCCATTCTTTCAGTGTGGTTTCTTCTAAACTTGCTGATTTCAAATTAATCTTGAATTCTTAGGGGTTATGCCTACCCTTAAAATAGTTATACTAAAGAGAGACTCATCCTTCAGAAGAGCACTGTTTGCATATCACCTGCTTACCAGGCTTGAGTTCATGTTTGAGACAATCTTTGAAATTATGCTTAAGGAAACATTCTCTGCAAACCAGTAACATCCCCCAGTGAATGGAAATATTTCCAAGACAAGATCTTTCTTTGGAGTTGTTTTAAAGGAAAGTCTTTTTTCTTTGCTTATTCTCATAAATGCCAGCAATTCATGTGACTTAGGCCAATTCAAGCACCTTACAGAATTCAGCTCTTCAGTACATGCAGTTTTAAAAGCACCACACTTGCATTCATTACAAATTTCTACAGCACATACAGGAGAAACTGTACGCTACAGATTTTACCAATGATGCTGATTACTCCTCCAAGATATCTCGGCAATTTCTTGCTTTCTTCTGTTAGCTGCTGTTTCTGGTTTCCTTCTGTCAAAGCCTAGGGATTTTTTTTTCAGTTATAATTACTGAATTTAGTTATATTCTTTGAAGACTTTCTTTCCAGCCTGTGTTGACTGAAATTCGTTTATATCCTCCAGAGCAGGTGGCCTCCCCTGACCCTAGCATGATGACACCTACAAATTTCATAAGTGTATTCTCTGATGTGTTCAGCTGAGTTTGTACAGTCAGAGGAATATTATGAAGTAAAATCTCTGGAGAAAACAACAGAAATTTAAACTCCTGTAAATGACTACTGTGTTCTGAAAGAAGATAAAACATTGAAAGCAAAGGTACTATTACAAGGCAAATACAGAGCCTGTTTTCTTGTAACATAAATGAGCTCCACTGCTGTAGTGAAGCATTTGCTTTATGTTTCTACTGAATTCAAGAAAAAAATTGTGTCAGTCTAATTATTTATTATCTTTTGGACATCAAGAATTAGCAAGAAGGGTTTACAACCACAGAAGGCTGTGAACACACTTCAATTCTACACATTTCTGACCTTTACAGCTCTTCATTCTGTCTTCCTCTGGAAAGTTGTTATTTTTGGCCATTGTGTATTCCAAGCTTTGTCTTTTGAATCAGAGATTAGGAAATACATCTTGAGCCAAAAAAAAGAGAAAATGGAAGATTAATCTTGTATCTTACTACATTTTTTTGGATCACCAGGGCAGGTACCTGGACACTTAGCGGGAAATTCACTACAGGTCTTCTTTATGAAACTAAGCATAATCTGCCTCCTAAATAAAGAGTCAGTTGCAGGTTTTTTATATGTGTTTTGTAAAAATAAACAAAAACACCTGATGCGTAGATTCCTAATGTCCCATTCAATATTATTTTTTTCTATTAGTTATCCCTTTTTAAAGCAAACAATTTCAAAGGAGACTTTGTTTTTCTCTTTTTCTTTTTATATGAAATGCTCTTGTGAGTAGAGAGAATTTATAAGAAACTATGTAACACTGCAAATGTTAGGCCACCACCATTAGAATGTAATAGATTTTTTGTTAGGTTTATAGTGCAGCAATTTGTTCTACTATTCAGAAAACAGATTGTACTATTTGACCTGTCAGAAGTCTACTCATGTATTAGAAACTAATAGAAGCACAAAGGAAGCCTGTTCCACATGGATACTACTACAAATTCCTTGTTGCACTAAGGTATGTTTGCAAACACCTCTGTGTCACATTAATGTGTACTCTTGAGCAGCACACTCAACTTCACTTTTTTCTTCTTAATGATTATATAAACCAAAATTGACATCCCAAACTGTAAGAAGTAAACAGACTAAAACTTTAGGATTCTCTTTGGCATGTCTAGTTTTTGTTCCAAATGAGAAAGAAAATCTACTTGACATTCTTTATGCTGTAGTATTAAAACCACTTAAGGCTGTAAGTGAAACAAATAAGTTAAAGAAATATGTGCCAGTCGTGTATCTCACCGGAATTATTTTTGACGCATTCTGTTTTTTCCACTCATGAGTTTTTAGTAAAGTTGAAAAAGGTACTGGAGGTAGGTTGTACTGAAATCATTTCACTGCTAAGTTAATGATCCTGTTCCACACAAAGTTCCCTTAAGGCTATTTCGAGATAAACTAAGGGTTTTCATTTTTAACAAGGGAAAATGTTGATAGCTGAAAGGCTTTGTTGTGTTCTGTGTCTAGACTGCACACCAATACTACATCTACCCTTACTGTTAACACCTTCCCTCATGTCTTCAGCCTTGGTTTGGCAGCCCATACAGTGAGAGCTAACTGTACCTGTTTGGCAGTTCATAAGAAGGAAGAAATTCTGAAATTGTGTGATCACCTTTAAAATGAAACAATCCCAACGTCTTCTTACGTATTTTATTTTTGCAAGATCTTTCACCTATGTTGTGGTAGCTGCAGTCACACAGACATAACTATGGGTTAGATTCTACATTCTTTACTCAGGGTAACAGCGTGGGGGTTTTTGTTCCTGTTCCTGGTTTATAATTTTAACTTCAGGATGCACCCATGATGCAGGAATTAATAGAAAAGCAGAAGCATGAAACCCAAGCTCCCATAGCACTCTTGTCCCAAAGAGCAGAAAAGACAAGAACCTTATAAATTACACTGATGAAGAAACCTGTGTAGTTTTTAGGGGGGCTTTATGTATTTCTTCTGGATGGATTATTTTCAAAAACATTTTGAAGGGCTTATCATAACCAAACTATCAAATCAAGCTTCAGTGACTGAATTCATGTCAGCAGCACTTTAAAGAAGGATGAGAAAATATAAGTGAAAAAATATCTTACTAATTTCCAGACTGATAAATATCAGAACGTTTTACATGTTGTCTTGGTAATGCTATGAAATGTTGATAAACAGGAATACATACATTTTATATTCCATGTCCCTGTCAGATCTTATATTCTTCACTGGCTTTCTTTAAACTCTCTATGCTCTCCGCTATGATTCACCCTTTCCACACAGCATTATTTGTATTGATAACCTGAGCTGATTTGATAATGACTTTCTGATAACACTATTCTGCTTGGAGAGTAGTAATTCAGGCTGAGACTGTACTCAGTCTGCTTTGTATAATTGCAATCTTCCTGAGCATATAGCAGCTGCTTGTACAAAAGCACCATACATTGTGCTAGATACATTAGACACTGTCCACTAACACTACTGGATAGGTTTGTGCATTAAGATTTAGACATGGTTTGTTTCTTTGTTTGTTTTTTTTTTCCAGTGGAAGAAGTGACTTAACTCTTCTAACCACTCTGATCATACTGGTATAGGTGTTTGGTTAGGATGGCTCAGTCTGGCGCAAATGTGCTCTTCATTTCAACGCAGATGGTTTTGATGTGTGAAGAGCAGTTCAGTAGGTTGTCATGATGCCAGGCAAATGCAGTCTAGAGGTAATTTTGGGAAGTGACCTTTTCAGCCCATTCAGATGCAGTCAGGAAAAAGTGTGTCTGCAACCTTACTATTTCCTTGGCTCTACTTTCCTCTTTGTACATTTAACAGTTTTTTCTTTCCCCTTCCTCTTTTTTAATTTTCTTCTTGTGATAGATCCTGTACTATTTGCGTCAGTCACCACACAGGTTTATCAAAGAATTATCTTAAGCCAATATGACCTGTAGGGCTCCTCACAAAATGAATTTTCAGTCTCCTGGTTCAAAAGGTGGCCCCAGAAGGCAGTAGTAAGGATATTTGTTTGTTCTTCTTATATAGTATCTAGGTGGGTCACCCATCCAGGTATGGATAATCAGTGATCCCTACTCAGCAATAGGTCATTTAACCTCTCTGTCCTGACACTCTTTAATTCACCAGTATAGACAAAGTCCTTGGGTTTCAAAGGTCATGCAGAGACTGAAACAGGTTTTTGCACAGATGTGACTGTTGCCAGAAATTTGTGTCGGTGTGTTATGCTTTGCCTAATATTTACTTACGTGTGTTTACAAATTCCATTGCAGGGTTTGTGCCCTCTGCTTTAAATGTCACACTATCCTGAAGGAAACGTCACCAGAGGTTCTCAGCTCTGCAGAGGGTGTCAGGAAAAGTCCTAGAGGAAGCAGGGGATCAGAGCATTAGATGGGTAACATGCCATGGGGCCTGAACTTCCAGGAAGGAGAACAAAGGGAAGTCAGAGTAAAAGGATTCCTGAAAAGTAGATCTAGTGCCTGTGCTTCCAAAGCAGATGTGAGAGCTAGATCACAAATCAGCAGCTGGAGACGATGCTGTCCTGGGCTGAAATCTCTAGTACATACAAGATTATTTTCTTGCTGGAGACATTAATTTTCTTTTCTTTCTTTTTATGTGTTTTATTTATTCCTCATTAATTTTTCCTGTTGATTTGTGATTTGCAAGTTTTCCCCTTATGCCCTGCCTATGTTTGAGGGTGTCACTAATACAATCTCTGCTCCTTCTTGCAGATCACTTCTGACACTATCAAACATTGTCAGTCTTACCACCATCCTCCAGAATACATTCTATCCTGATAGCTCTCTGCAGTCATTCACCAACATTTAGCATTACTTTTTGCTAATGCTGCTTTTGTCAGTTTTTAATTTACTGAAGTAGTAGCATGTCTGAGCCATGGGCGAACTTCCAAGGGGAAATTAAAATGACAATCCACATAAGGTCTGCAAGGTAGAGGAAAGCAAGCCAGACTTAAAGGGGGGGATTGTCAGAATTAAGGATCCTGCTATATATTCAGATTCCATCTCCAGCACCTGTTTAAATCTTTGATATTATCACTGATCTTACCCATTTATCAACTCCAGTGTTTATCATCCTGAAGGAAATAGTAACAGTAAGGGGGAGCAGTTGACAGTAAAGAAATTAAGACTCAGGGGAGGGTAAATCACTCAGAAAAAGAAGAGTATCTTGGTTTGACCTTCAAAAGGACAGCTTTAGTGGGAATAGAGCCTCAAAGTATTTGATAGAAAAAAAGGAACTTTTATAAAAATCTGTAACAATTCAAAAAGTTACAATAGGAGATACCTGTTTTTCAGTAAAGGCTGTCTCCTGAAACAGCTGCAGCTGAATTATTATGGAAGAGAGAAGCTGAAAGTGAAGATGGATTCAGTGGTGTGCAAGAAACTAAGAAGGTAAAGAAACAATAAAAAATAAAAAATATGTTAATGCAAGTAATATTGACTTCTTCAGCTTTAATAAGTTCATTAGGGATTATGATAAAATTATGATTGTGATTGTGAATTTATGTTAGTGTAGATTTCTGTTCACAGCAGTTTTCAAGATTAACCTTTACAGTGCTGATATCATCATGAAATTAGGAGGTGCAAGTTTTCTTTTACAGCTGTTGAGATTAAGGTAGATACATTAGAGTTAGTAATATATATATATTTTTATAATGAAACTATTATATTCTGGACTTTTATTAGAATTATCAAGCATTTTGTTTCTATTTTTATCTGGTTTTATAGATTTTTTTCAAAACCCATTAGCCTCATAAGATTTATACATGTAAGTAAGCAGATTTTGAAAATTTCATTTTAATTTCTAAAAATTGAGGCCAGCTACACCCAGTAACAACTTTTGCATATTGAAGTCTTCAGATTGCCCAAAATTTTAAGAATAATCATCTTCTAGCACAGAAACTCTGTAAGTTGCAAAGACAAAAAGTGTAAACACACTAACCTGACTTGTGAATGGTTTAAAAAAAAATAAAAAAAATTAAGCATAAGATGAATCTGGAATGAATTGAAAGAGCTGATATAAAAATTTGCTTTAGAGTTGCAAACTTGAGTGCTGTGTCCAGTTCTAGTCTCTCAGTTCAGGAAGGACGTTGAGACACTTGAGAGCATCCAGAGGAGGCAACAAGGCTGGAGAGGGGCTTGGAACACAAGCCCTGTGAGGAATGGCTGAGGGAGCTGGGGTTGTTTAACCTGGAGAAAAGGAGACTCAGAGGTGACCTTATCACCCTCTACAACTCCCTGAAAGGTGTTTGTGGTCAGGTGGGGGTTGGTCTCTTTCTGCATGCAGCAACTGACAGAACGAGAGGACACAGCCTTAAACTGCATCAAGAGAAATATAGGTTGGATGTTAGGAAAAAGTTTTTTACAGGAAGGGTGATAAAGTATTAGGATGGTCTGGCTGAGGAGGTGGTGGAGTCACCATCCCTGGATGTGTTTAAAAAAAGACTGGATGTGGCACTCAGTGCCATGGTCTAGTTGTGGTGTTGGGGCTGGGTTGGACTCGATGAGCTTGAAGATCTCTTCCAACCTAATGGTTCTGTGATTCTGTGAAATTTTGATAGTACTTACTTTGCATGAAATATAATTTCTGCAACTTCCCAGTTTCTCTTCTTTTTTTAAATTGGAATCTTAGCTTTGAATTTCACTTTATAAGTATAGATGGGGTTTATTTCTATTTTTTAAATGTATATGCATATATACTTATACTCTATATATACCTTACTTGTATATCTAATTTTATTTCGACATTCCTTTTATGTGCTGTAATTTTGTAATAAATAGGCAAACATATTAATGACTATTGATATGCAATAGCAACTGAAACTTCTATTTTGAATTGTTTCTTCATTTTGGCTTAAATCTTACAAACAGCTGTTGCTCAGTTCTTCTTGAAATATGCTTCTCATTTTGCCTTTATCCCTCCAGTTTGAAACTTGAGGTGTTTCTGCAGTCATTGTCTCCTGACAGGTCTGGGGCACAGAAGAAAAGTATCTGTCTCTAAGTTTGATTTTTTTGAGTAGCACTTGCTAGAGATCTGCAGTCCATAAGTCTTTGTTCTCATGTATAGTCTATGCTCAGAAAGTTTGCATAGCTTACTTGGATTTCTAGATTGCCTGTTAGCTATTACCTTTCAGGATTGTTTTGTTTTAGCATTTGTATATAACTCCAGCTTGTGTTTCTTATCACACTCGATTTGTCTCATTCATAAAACAATTATATCCAATTTATGTGTTCAGCAAGATTGTTCCAGTACTTTGTGCTTGAAAAGGTTTTAGACTCCAAGTGTCTCAATAAAGTGCTAACAATTAAGGATTTCAGTCAGCAGATCAGATTGCATTAAGTTGAGCTCATAGTTGTATAGATATGTCAACAATTAATTCTATAGAAGCAAACATTTTTCATTAATGAGCTGGAACCCATTAATATACACCTCTTTGAACACATGACCTGCAGTTATAGCAGAATGTAGTCCTCTGATGGAACAGTTAGAAAGTTTATCTCTTTCCAAAAGCTTTCCTAATGCCTTACTGATTTATATTTCCTACTCCTTAAATAATGGCCTGATTAATGCAGAACTTTGTTGTAGAGAAACAGTTTTAACTTTCTAAAATGTTGATCTTTCCATAGTTCTACTTTTAGCAGTATTTTCTGTCTGAAAAGGATGCAGCTCTGCGTCAAAGTTGCGAGTTCATTTACTTCATTAATAAAATGCTGAGGTGATGAGGACTGTGGAAATTATGTAAGTATTTGTGTTTGCTTATTGTGTCACAGTTGCTTAAATGTTATTTGAAGACAGGGCTCATCAGCAAACAAAAATTTCATTTACTGGGATTTTTTTTTTTGTCTTTCATGTTAAATTCCTTCCAGTACAGTAGAACAGACAAACCTTCAACCAAGAGAGATCTCTCACATAGAGCAAATTTCAAGCTTTTTGCTCTTCTGCAATCTGGTTGAATAAAGATCTTGAATCTGTTTCTATCATTTTGTCTGCCTTAGCTTACAAATTGTCCATCTCTCCGTCTCTCACAACTTGGGTATTCTTGGTGTGATTAAAATCTCATTTACCTGGTGTTTAAATCTGACTAAATATTCTACCTAAATTTAAGAAAACTTACTCAGAAAAATTAATTTTTTTAATTAAAACTGCCCTGAAAAATGGGTTTTTCTGGTGGACATTTTTCTAAAAAAAAAAGAAAAGAAAAAAAAAAAAGTTTTTTTGTAAGATCCCAGTCAGCTCTATTTAGCTGCTGAAAGGGAGAATGTTTTGTGATTATAAATCATGCACAGCACTTAAAGATAATTTGTGGAGCAATTAAAGTAGCTACTAAGGTTTTATGGTGTGCAATTATGTTTCTTCCATCAGAACATCATTAGGAGAATACTTGTTTGCCCTTGCAAGTGAGCTTGTTAAATGTAAAGAAAAATGCAACTGGCAAGCAATAAAGGGCAGATTAAGGGACAAATAAGATGTCCAAAGAGTTCTTTATGAGTGGCTTCTGTTTTGTTTTGTTTTGTTTTTGTTTGCTCAGCTATTGTTTTTTAGCCTTCCCTGGAACAAAAATAAGAGCTCAGAAAACCCATTCAATTCCATGTAGTTGGCTGACAGTTTAAGTACAACTTCATGCATCGGTGGTAATTATACTGGGCTTATAGTTAAGTAAAAAAGCAGTACATACTGAACATATGAACATCACAACATAGCATGGGATGCACCTGTTTTTTTCAGAGCTCTAGGGACTCTCCAAAAGGTAGGCTTGTGTCTTTAAGGAAGGAAAATTTTAAAAGGAAGGTAGGAAAATTCAGGTTGGAAAGGATCTCAAAATGTCTAGTCCTGCCTCCTGCTCAAAGCAGCATCAACTAGGAGGACAAACCAGGTTGCTCAGTAATTTATCCAGTGGAGTTTTGAAAAATTCCAAGGATGCTCAGTTGGAAGTATGACTAGGTCATAGACTGCATGACCACTCTGATCAGCACATTCTGTTTTTTGGCTTTATGGTGAGAATGTTTCTCCTTACTCAGTCTTAATGCCTTTTATTTCCATTTATCCTTGTTATCTCTCTTCCTTTCGGGCATCACTGTGAAAACTTGGCTTTGGCCCCTTGATAATCTCTCTGTAGCTAAAGAATTGGTGGTGGGGTTGTTGGTTTTTAAATTTCTTCGTGATTAGACATCTACCCTGATGGTTGTGGGAGCACTGAAAAACTAGAATTCTTTAGCCTGATAAGGAGAAGACTTAGGGAAGCAATTAATAGAAGCTTTGAAGTTCATAAAAGGTATATTTAAATATTACATCTGATTTTGAATTTCTCATTCATATGTACACTGAAGCTTATAAAGTTACTTGCAGGAATCTGCATGGCAGAACAGAGTTGTCAGATAGAGCATACTCTAGCTGAACTCCAGCTTAAAAATGATTGGTTTAAAGTACAGACAGAACTAAGTCATGCTTTACTCTCCGTCAGAAACTTGATCTTTCAGCTGGAATAAAAAAGAAGAAAGCAGAATTTTTTTTGAGGTATTTGTTCTGTTTAATCCATAGTTTTTAGAAGAGATAAAAATGGAATGAGAATAGGTCTGTTTAGAGAAAATATCCAAACTTCTTATTCATATTTAGCATCCTCATGTTTTAGGGAGAAAGTGAAGGCAGGAAGGGAAGACTTCTCTGTTTACTGGACAGGCTATTCAAGAGTGGTAGCATTTATGTAATTTTTTTCTTGCAGCACTCCTGAGAGAAGCAGAAGTAATTCATCTCCATAGCAGTACACTTGATTCCCAGGTATCCCCATTGAAGGTGTATTTAATTTCTCATTTCAGGCTTCAACTGAGTAGTCTAGCATGACACTGTTTTCCTATAGGAGTGAAAAACACCACTTCTTCTTTTAAGCTCTGCAACTAGAATAGAAGTAAAATATGAAAAAACCCAGGTCAGGAGACACTTATTAACTTGAGTAATAGATTTCTACACAACTTCACTCAGAATTTCCATTTCTTCTTCTCAATTGTATCACCATCTCTTTCTAGACTGCACTAAAGTTAACATTGAATTTACAGAATAATAATAATATAAATTTCTGCCATAAATAATTCTGAATTTAAATTAAATTTAACACAGCAGTAAGCTGAAGCTAGAAGACCAGTTATAACAGCAGATGATGTAATAAAAAGTGGTGGTTTTTTCATATTTTTAGATTTTAAAATTGTTTGAATTTGGGAGTTAATGTCCAGAAGACATGATGTACTAGTACATGTTCAGAATAAAAAAAATTCCAATTCTGCAATATTAAAATTATTTAAACTGACAATTTCTGCAGGGTGGACCTTCTACTCTCTAATTAAATTGCTGGATAATGCATATGCCAAACCATGCCTGACTGGAGGACTGTTCACTTTTCTGATATTTTAGGTTATTTC